GTACTGCAGGCTCCTTCTGCTGACTGCCGGCTGCCTGCAATTTGGCAGTTCGAATCTCACCAGGCTCAAGGTTGACTCAGCCTTCCGTCCTTCCGAGGTGGGTAAAACGAGGACCCAGATGGTTGGGGGCAAGAGGCTGACTCTGTAAACCGCTTCTCTGTGAAGGGGGCCTATGAGTCTAAGTGCTACCACTATCATCCCTGGGGAGATAAGGCTACCCCCCACCCCCGATTTGACACTCTTTCGCAAGCCCTGAAGCAGGGGTGAAATTCAGCCGGTTCTGACAGGCCTCCCCCCCCCACAACCCCCTGCCTTGCACGAAATAGAAAAACGTAGAAAGTGACAGCAGAAAAAGATCTAGTGAACCAGTGGATTTTTGCCCTTTGAATTTTCATTTTGGTTTAGCAATAGCCCTTAGACTTATATACCACTTTACAGTGCCTTACCGCCCTCTCTAAGCGGTTTACAGAATCAGCCTCTTCTCCCCTAACAACCCAGGTCCTCATTTTCACTGACCTCAGAAGGAAGGACAGAAGCCTGAGTCAGCCGGGTCAGGATCGAACTGCTGGCAGTGAGCAGTGAGTTAAGCTGCAGTGCTGTATCTTAGCCTACTGCGCCGCCATGGCTCTGTGTTTCCTTGTTAATTAAGGGGTGTTTTTAAAATTATTTTTATTTATCTTTTTTTGCAAGCTGACGGGCGTGTGTTTATCCCACGTGTGACGAAGCATGCGAAAGTTTGACCACGCTTTTCCCTGCTATGTGCTGGGATAAAGTGTAGCTGACTGCAAATCAGAAGTTTGACTTAGTGCCTTTAAAGTTTTAATGGTCTTAGTTTTATAGTTGTAATATGACTTTTATGGGGCTTTAACTTTTCAATGCCCAGAATTCCTTCTAAGCTGGGTGGCCGCATTAAAGTTTTAAATGAATAAATAGATCCTAATCTATTTATTACCTAATCCTAAAAATATTCAGTGGTGTCCCAACGAGGCCTCGGGAAGAAGATGAAAGAATCATGATGACAGACTTTATAAGGTCTCATTTAGTGGCCTTTCAAAGTTACGACACCAAGTGGAGATGAAATAATAAGGAAGACTCTGGACTGTGCTGAGATGGGCAAGTAAGTTAACAAAAGAAATCCAAGGAAAAGAAGAGAGAGAATATTATTTGGTCTGGGGGAAAACGGTACAAAGATTAACGATAAGTAGCTAAGAAAGATAAAAAATTATAAATAAAGGATAAATGTTACACACATAAAAGAGGGATAAAGTTTGTCTGATAAGGTAGATAAGTAAATGATAATGAAATAAGAGGGTTAGAAATGGTGAAACTCAGGGATAAGGGATTAGGAGGGAAAATATTGTATATAAAAATACGTAGCGATCTAAAACTGCTATCAGAAGGAACATCTTCATTCATTCAGCGTGTTGTATAAATGTAGTCTACCTCTTTGTATTTGTGTGTTTAAAATAAAATAGATATATATTTTAAAAAAAACAAAGTCACAACAGCCCCCAAAAAGAGACTTACGACCATTTTTCACATCTACGACCTCATGCATCCCCCGTAGCCACGTGTTCAAAATTCGGCCACTGACTCATAGTTAC